GCATGGGTTGAACAATTAAGTACCCACTAGAAATGCAAATAAATGCAAGAGTGAACATAGCCTTACTCGAATTTACTTCGCAGACTGGATATCTTTCAGAGACCATTTCATAGAAAGCAGTGAAACCAGAGCGAGAAACTGAACCATCTGTTTTAAAATGTACATAAAGGGCGTTGCTGTGGCTGTAAACACACCAGGAATCTTGATAATCGCAGCGTCTCATTGTTAATCTTTGGTGAGACGTTCCGTCCTATATCTGTACATAGTCGTAAGGGCAACTACCAGAACTACCCTCCAGATGGAAATGATCAAAGCGGAGGTAAATGTAAAGCCCCGGTGATGTCGTAATATGCCAAGCACACTGGAGATTGTGGCCGTAGTTTTGAGGGTAGTTTGGACTACTGAAATGTCCGTGTGGTCCATATAAATTGTAGTGACAAGAGGCTAAAAAGGTGTAAAAAGTGTAAAGTAGGACAACACGAGTTAGACTATCAATGGTTACCTTGACTTTAAACATATCACAGGGAATTTAATATTTTTTGAGAAAAACTCAAATGTCATAACGTCTTACCAGAGGCAGCTGGCAGCGAGACTGTTGATAATGGTGTTACTGATGCTGAGAATAGAAGCGAGACACGATCAAAAATACAATATGTCAGTAATTATTAATACATTTGTCAAGTAAATTCAACTTGAGAAAGAATAAGCAAAAAAGTTGTGTATTGAATCTGAAAAGTTTGGTTTGGCTGTCACGACCGACAGATCTAGGTTTTGAAGCATACAACAATGTTTTTTATTCTCCCTTGCGGTCCTGAGCTCTGAGATGACTCACTAGTCCAATACTGATAGTGGCAAACTTTTGGACACTTGTGGCATGGATAGCAACCTTGTGCTAGTATACGCTCTTTGCGGCAGCGACGACGTCCCATTAGATCTTCTATTCGAGCATCCTCAAACTTCGCAACCCTACACTTAACAGCTGTCTTCCACTGGGCTCTATAGCTTACAAGAGCTTCGAAGTCAGTTATGGCGCATTTTTTCAGCGCTCCAACTTTACGAGCACCATCAGACAGTTTGCTGTATAAAAGGGCTCGTGGTAGTCTCCCTGCGCTCATACGAACAACATGCCCTATCCACCGATGATGGGCTTCCATTATGTAGGCCTCAATCGCGCGCATATGGCAGTGAAACAGCACTTCAGTGTTTGGTATACGGTCTTGCCAGGAGATTCCACTAAGTCTCCGTAGGCAGCGCATATGGAAGGCATCTAGCTGTCTAATATGTCGGGGATATAATGTCCAGGTCTCTACACCATAGAGCATGACACTTAAAAAAGCTGCTTGATAGACCGACACCTTTGTCACTGGAGAGATGTCATGTTTGTCCCATAACCTCGAAGCAAGGCGCCCAAATGTTGAACTTGCTTTCGCCAATCGTGCTACGATTTCAAGGTCAATGGAGCAATCGTTAGATAGAACACCTCCCAAGTAACAGAACTTAGTGACTGCCCTCAAATTTTCAGATCCGTTCGTGACTGCAGGCTCTTTGTAGCAGTAACCAGGCTTAGGTTGTAATAGCACTTCAGTTTTCTTTATGGAGATCGAAAGGCCATATCTCTTTGTGGCATTACTAAGGCAGTCAATACGAACTTGGACATCTTCTTCGGTGTGAGCAACAAGAGCACAGTCATCAGCGTGGAGTAGCTCTCTGACCAGTATATGGTGGACTTTGGTCTTTGCCTTAAATCGTAGAAGGTTTGTTATTCCTCCATCGTACCGCACATTTTCTGGGAAACCAACTCTATGGAGGAGCATCCAAAGTCCTGTACGAGACACCGAGTCAAAGGCTTTTGTTAGATCCACAAAGACTATATAAAGGCCACGCTGCTGTTCTCTGCATTTTTCTTGCACATGACGCGCGGCAAAAAACATGTCCACTGTCCTGCGCTTCTCCCTAGATCCACATTGGCTTTCAGGGTTCACCTCCTCTGCCAAAGCAGTTGCCCGTCTCACNACGCATATCGTTCTTGTTTGCCGCACTCTGCATCAGTCTAGCTTTTTCCTTCCACCATTCTTCTTTCATTCTCTAGATCTTTGCCTGTGCTGCAGATTTCACATGTTGATAGCTGTCCTTCTTTGTTTGATTCAGCTTCTCAGAGAGGCAATCTAGATGTTTTTGTTGCAGGTCTTATAGAATTGACACAATCAGCACATCGTTTTCATCAAACCAATCTTGATGCTTTCTCCGCTGGAATCCCAATGAAGCTATAGCAGCTTTGCATAAACGTTCCATAACCGTTCAACATCCGTCGCCTCTTCATGTTCAGATGCCATACCTTGAAGTTCAGCCATGATGTTCTTCCGAAGGAGCGCACAGTTTTCTTCTGCCTTCAACCTACGCACGTCTAGACGAGGTGTCTTCAAAGTGCACTTAAGGATATACACGAGAATATATATTCAATCTCGCAATACATGAAGTTTCTGAATATATTTTCAATCGATAAGTCACGCATTTAAACAAAATGGAAAGTTAATGATTAACTAAGTTTTTGGATAAGAAAAAAATACCTGGTGTAGGAGATATATCAGCGGGGATACTTGACGGTAAATGGTTAGCTGTGGGAAGAAAATAACCATGGTGGTTAATTTCATCTATTGAAAACAATATAGGTAACAAGTCAGGATCCACAAAAAAAGTGTCTGTAATTAAGAAACACACTTAAAATGTGCTCTTTGAAAGAAACTCCACTGAAGTTATTAATGTATGCTGGATTTTGTGTAGTCCGTGTATGTGTTTTTATCGGATTGACGTAATCTTTACGTGGCACTTTTTGTGTACAGTCAAAAGCCCGTCTCATGATATTGATAAAGTTAATTTAATGGAAGAAGCTTTTAAATCAAGATCAAAAGAATATCTCCTTTGCCGCTTCTCTTAAAGTAGATTGAGTTTTCTGAGGATTTTTTTCTCGCAGCATTCTTACAAATGTATCTGTTCGTCTCATTTGGTGTCCGTGTGTTTATATATGTGTCTGTGTGTTTTTCTTTTCTTTTAAGAATCACTTTTTTTTTGCCTTTTTCTCTTTTTTTTTTCCTTTTTCTGTTATAGTATAATAAATACTATAAATATTTTTTGCGAAATAAAGCGAATAAATAACAAACAGAATTTAGTGAAAAACGATAGCTATGGAAAAACCTTCTGGTCACAGTCTAACTTTCCCTTGGATGCGGGCAGACAAAATATGTTTCGTGGAATTTTATAGCAAGCAGCAAAACTAGAGTAGGATAAAGAAACATCCGTCACAAAATACACATAAGTACGTTGCTGTGGCCGTTAACACACGAAGTGTTTTGATAACTGCAGCGTCTGCAGGTGTGGTCAGGGCTATCTTTGGCGAATTGCAAACAAGAGGCCAAAGACAAAACGAATGTAGAATTATTTCACAAGAGCCCTTAACAGAGGACTCCCTGGAAACTAGCTTCTAGGTGCCAGGACCGCAGTATGCCAAGTTGATGACATTTTAGGTTAACGTATGCCATGTTCCCAGAACTGACAGGATAGGCCTACACCTTCTGATAATCAATATAAACATATTTATTATTATCATTATCATCATCATCATCATCATCATCGTTATTATTATTATTATTATCATTATTATTATTATTATTATCATTACAATAGACATAAGGAAGCATCACACATCTACCTGAAGTCTCGGAATATTGCCACCACCAGTAAGATCGTTTTGACCGATAATGTCCCCCACATTCATCTATATCTGCAAAGAGAAAAGAAATCTTCGCATCGATAGACTCTCGTTAAAAATACATGTACAATTCGAGTTTATGCTTCCACTGGAAATATTGAATGACTTACATATCTATTTAGTTTGGATTTTTAGGCATTGATTGATTTCGTTGGATGCTTGTTTTAGTCTAGTTTTCGCACCCAGACAGTAGACATCACAATTTTTGCGAACGAAAATGGGGACTTGCTCTGCAATTTTCAACACTAGGATATCATAAAATTATGCATCATGGGGAGCAGTTACACTGAACAATCATCTGAGTACGGACAAAACATATTTCATTAAATGAATTCGAACAGCGTATCCTTCGCGCACGTTATCTTTCAAGAAAATAATAGATAGATGGCTCTTATTGTGTTGGTTGAGATTGGAACATGGATGATGAGCCCTCATAACCCATACCAGACCAGCGCAGACTAGAGATACCGTGTACTTGTTCATTAAATACTACAACTCAAGACGTACCTTTACACTTTTGAAAACTTGGAGGAGCCAGGGCATAACCAACAGGGCACGTACCATCTACAGGGAAAGCCCAGTCTTTGGGTGAGGTTATACCAGGTGTTGGTGGACCATCATATGAGCAGCCTTGTCCAACGACTGCACCGTGATCTATCAAGATGGCATATGAACCATTCATGCTGAGTGCAGCCTTGGGCGTGGCAAAATGCAGTGCTGTGCGGTTACTGTCGATAATAACGTAACCAGAGAGGGCATCCACTTTGAAGACGGTAAAACCATTTGATTGCAGAACCAATCGGATGAATGCTGTACTACGAGGCTTCTTTATCTACAAATGATCACACTCAGTCATAAATTCAAGTATATTCTAATTTTGGATGATTACCTAACCTTTTTAATTCCCAAGATCTGAAAGCTAGCTCGTCCAAAAAGTGACTGTGATTTCTTTTGTTTCCTGGTACTGATAATCTGGTGTTATAGCCAAGTAACATTCCAAAGTTAGTAATTCACTTGATTATTTTCCCTTGAAGTCATGATAATTTATCAAAATTATAGTGTCGGGTTATTATGAAGGTCTGTTTGAAAGGTAAGAATATAGTGTTGATTACCACTCTGTCAAATTGAATACTCCACCATATGAGTCCTGTTCCGATCTCACTCATAGGACTTATTGGCCTTCTTGTACCCAAAATAACATGAGGCGTATTACCTAAAAAAGGTGTGTATATTTATATTAAATGAATAACTAAATAGTACATGGTGATTCAATCATAGATAAATAACTAGTAGCTGATTCGATCGATTTCCATTTTATGTCAATTATTGTTTATTGTGATGTTATTATTACTACCTTTTTATCATTAACATCGATATTGTATCAATTATTATTTGATCACTGTGCTTTTTTTTTGTTTGGTTCTAGTCTGCATAAAAAGCAAATGAACCTGCTAACTCCTTAACGGTATTAAGACGTAAAGAGAAGAAAAGAGGGTTCAACAAAGCTCAATTCACGTGTCTGAATGAATCGAAATGTTCCAATGGACAAAAATAACTTACTTAGTCCCACAAGGATCGTGACACAACGCCATTCACTTTGTAATCTGTAACAAGGAAATCATTTGAGGTATGAATATATTCACTTCGACTTGCACAGCATGAATCTTTTTATCCTCCTGTGAATTACTAACGATATGTTCCGGGATAAACGTGATTAAAAAAAATTGTTTTTGCTCGTACCGGTAGTTCAGTACATGTATTTTGTACTTGCATAGAGTTGATATCGTGCTTTTTGAGCATAAAATGCGGCCCAATATGCACATCCACCACTCCAAAGTAACACCATTAATGTCTTGCTTTGTCTTGACAGTGATAAATTACACCGAGAAAAACTTGAATTAAATCAGTCTAACTCAGCAGTTCATCACAATTCTGATCTTAGGTACAATAACATACAAGAGTGTCTGACCCGTCTGAATCCAAAGCTTGAAAGCAGAACAACTGCTGCCCAACTTGGTTCTGATTCGGATACCACGTGACATTCCTGGAGTAGATGCCTCCATGAAAGCGTAGGGGTGTAAGTTGCATACCAAGTGGAGAGCTTGTGGTTATCTCAACAACACTTAGAATTTAAAGAAAAAAGTTATGTTAACAGCAAACATACCATGGCAGGTAATACCCAGTCTGATAAATGTTATATAGTTTTACACAGTTTACGGACAAGAAAGGCAAGCTCAGATGTCCTGGACTTGCAACCTTGAATACTTACTGTTTAGCAATGTTTGGAAGCCGCACCTCAATGACTGCTACATATGCCGACCCAATCTGGATCTCCAGGCATTCACCTTTTTGAGGAGTTGAGGCAGTAAAAACAGGTATGTCTTGGCAAGAACCAGACCCAGCGCTTATTATGACTAGAAACTGCAGTGGCACAGCACTAAATGGTCTGATGTTATTGAAGTTTGTGGTTCCAGCTGGAAAATCTTCCAAAGTTAAGGTTACTGCGTAAGTTCCCAATGCTCCACGTCCACCTCTGTAAGTTAAAACGCAGTTTTTCTGCAAAGCAAAGGATCAAACGATAATTTTTTCAGATACACCAAGCAACTTAAAATTGTCTTACATCATAGTGCCATTTTGAGGTCTCCCTTGGATTAACAAGAAAATCACAGTGTGCTTGTTAATTCTTCTTTCTTCCACGCGTTAAAGCCATCCATCATGTAGCAGCAAAATGTAACTGTTTAGAACTAAGTCCACTAAATAGACAAATTTAACTATTGAAACATATGATACTAACCAATATTCCGAAAGCATTGAAACTCTGTTCTAGGCATGTAAACCATCCGTAAGCGTTGGTTGACTACCGTTAATATTCCTACACCAGCTTTGATCATAAACTTCGCGTTTCCCGAGAAAATGTCAAGTACTCTTTGGTGACAAATTAAGGCAGTTGCCTTCATTTTCTATACCGCTAATTCTCTTAAGTTTGAGTTGTCATTTCTGCTCGTGTTCTAAGTGCCATTTCATTTACTCAGTCGATTTTTACCCGGGAAGCCCTCGGGAAGCTCACTCTGAGAGAAGCTGGGCGTTTTGATTGATTTCGCGCGCTTTTCAATGGGTTTACTGAAAACATGACTAAATTTACGTAGACACGTCATCCATAGTTTTGTCATGGAAGCAATAGAAGAGTCAGTTTAGGGTCTTAAACGTGATCATCCTGTTTGTGTTTTTAAGGGAACTCTTGAAAAGCTTTTGCTTCGCTCGCCGAGTCGTGAATAACAAGTTTTTAATTTCCTTGTGTTTGAACAAGAAAAAAATCAGTGATAGAGCGAAAAAATTTACCTCGTCAAGTTCGCCGTAAGAAAAACTGTCATTTGGTATGGAGGACTCGGCGTCGGTTGCCCAACGGCATTTCACAAAATCGCCATCTGGATCTTCAACCGGGATTATAAGAGACTTCTGACAGCCTTCTTGAAACCGCACAATAGCGGGGCTCCTAGAGACTGGGGATGAATTGATTTTTCCGTTATCTGATCGTTTAGAGAGACCTATTTTGGTAGATACCAACCAGTCTGAGCTAGCATACCGCGCAAGATTGGAAATCCAACAGCAACTGTGATAACTGTCGACGAGACAAGAAGAGAAGGTTTGTGAAAAAACAATGGGACTTCAGATGTAGTTAACTTGATTTGGAAGACAGGCTATAGCACACTAACGAAACTCACCATGAGAACGCTACTCAGTTGACTTCCCAAAAAGTTATAAGGAATGGAAGGAATTAGAAGTCATAGGGGGACTGATTTTGAGCCATAAAAACAACAGATACATGGCGTTCGGCTATTTTCCGAGTTGAAAACTGGATATGTGAAAGACCGTCCCAATGGTGAAAGATAATTTTGATCATTGCAAACGGCCCTTAATTGTTCAAGGCTTTCTGCTACCTTGAGACTGAAACATTCTTATCAAGTTAGTTGTAATCTGTTTCTTTTTCCCTTAATTCACATGTTGACATACCTTACAGTCCACTCCACATTACTAGAAGGAAAAGTGTAGGTGAAGTTATTTTCCCCCATGGACCAGTCTTCATCGCTACTAAAGTCAGTACAGCGAAAGCCAGTGTCCGCGAGGTTATAAGTCTGCGAACACACTGCACTTAAATGATCGCTGCACTTAGCTCTCCAAGAATCTCCAGATCCAATAATTCCTCCTCGGTTAGTTGTATCGTCATCACAATAATAGGAATAAGATAATGACCTTCGAAAAGCCAGACGGAAGGTGAACCGTATCTGGAAATAGTAAAATATCATACGAAATAGCTAGGTTTACATATTAGGTTTCGATCATCTCTAAGACCTTTAAGCAACGAGTAACATGGGTGTTCGAGCCGCATAAGCAGTCCATTGTCTTGCAGTTCCTTCTCCGAGTCTTGAAGGTTTCTATAGCTGTTAGTCGTTTTACAGTTTTTGCGAAGCAGGTAAATGATTTTAACACAAACCAATTGTTCATTATTTTTTCTGGTCAGAAAACGTCAATTGTTAATGACTTTCCTCCATCGCTGCATTTTTGATGAAGTGGGTGGTTTCATTCTTCAAATACCCTTCCGGTCAATGCTTTTTCTCAAAAGATGGTTCTTCAATGTGCTTGATATACACACGTTTCAGTGACTTAACACAGTTGTCCTCATCAGATTTTTTGTCGTGGAAAGTTAACGAAATTAATGGTTATGAACTCTACCGTCGGCAAAAAAATTCTACTACTAAGACGGAAAATTTGGAATGTTAATCAAAAGTGGGCGGGTGTGGTTTAGAACGCTTTGGCGTCTACAGAGAAATTATGAATTTGAAATGAATGATAACAAAATCCGCAGTCTTTTCAAGAAATGGTCACAGTTGGCTTCGTCAAGGAAGATAGCGTTATTCTCTCTCAATTGAGTAAATCTTTGTTCAAAAATGCTAGTAGTTAAACAATTGCAAAAAGAGCAGGATTAACTGCGTCACGCTCAATGGGAGACAGCCGTTGAGAATTAAGCCAAATCATGGCTGGATGATAATTCTCTCATGTAAGCATACAGAGAAACTTATGAATACGAACAAACTACTGGAAAGACCATAACTTGGCAGACAGCCGTTGAGAATTAAGCCAAATCATGGCTGGATGATAATTCTCTCATGTAAGCATACAGAGAAACTTATGAATACGAACAAACTACTGGAAAGACCATAACTTAACAAGAAGTTAACACAGCTGGCTAAGCCTATAGAGAAAAGAACTCAATTTTCTCATGGCTAAGTATCTCATCAACGTTAAGAAAATCAACGTAGTAACAGAAATATGTACAATTTGAAGATCAGTGGCTTCCTGCCCGTTACTAGCTAAGAGATTTTAAAGAGAACAAGTCAGTCAACTGTGCCGTATACTTCAAAAGAGGACACCAGCAGATTAACAAAAAATCAATCAGGTAGTCATTGTTTAGCAACACGTACTAAAGCTTGTTGCAGGTTGAAGGATCATAAACCTGACGCAAACAAAAAAATAACAAAAAAAACTTTCAGCAACACTGGCGTGCAAAAGCGTACTTTTAAAGAAAATGCAAGTTAAAAATTTCAAAGCCAGTAAAAGCTTCAATTGTTTACAAAGTTTATCAGTACTAACAAAACAATTAGGTTAAAAGTTCGATCATGTGTTCTGTCTCTGGGAAAGAGAGCGAGTTCTTAAAATCTGAAGTACAAGATTTCCAGAGCTTAGAGTTTCAAGGTCTTAGTAGGTCGAAACAAGGTGACAGCCAGTCGTTCTGAACGGGCTGTCTTGTGACGCCTGTAGTGAAATTTCTTCACCTCACCCAACTTAATGCCTCAGAGAAAACGTTAGCATGCAATGATGGATTACATTGCGAGTCTTAGACGTGTAAAGGCAAACTCTGCAAATTTAGCCTTTGCCGGTACTGGCTGACGTTTTTTATACAACATGTGAAAACCGTAGACAACAAATCTCAGTGAGGTAGCTCTGTAGCGTGCAATTAAGGACCATACCGTATTGGTATCAGCACCAGTCGGAGCAAAGCTCATGAAGGCATGTCTGAAGTGAGACCCTTCCACTAAATACGACCACTGTGTGAACGCCAGTAAGCAAAGAAGGTGCTTGAACGTACGAGGTGTCATCTTGGACAGCCTTTCGGTTCGATTGACCCACTCCCAAAAAATATTATCATATATCCACTAAATATATTTCACCAGATACGCTAGGCATGAGCCTGCGTCAAACCATGTCAATCAAGATTACTCGCGCGTATCCAAGGGGATTAATTAAAAAGTCTCGCAACCACACAGGACATACAATATGTTTTGTCGATAAACTTGACATGCATTCGTTTATTTAATTATTATTTTATCTTATCATTAAGGAAAGGCCTTTGATCAATAAGTAGAATTGACAAAGGTAGTTTGGTACAAATGCTTATAGATCACCACCAACGTAGGTCTATTTAACTACATCAGCACACTTTTAATAAGTTCAGTTACCTTGGCATGAGACCTCAGGGAAGATCATGTGAACAAGAATACAGAGTAGTCTCTCATGAAATAAGTAAGCCGAATTATTTCTTTCATAACAACAAATTATGTGGTTATTAAAGCTCCGTTCTGTTACGAGTGAAGAGTAAGGTTTTGATCAACACATTTCACAGCCCATGAAAATAAAATAAAGGTAGTTTGGTGCACATGCATACATAGCAATCACTTCTTTTTTCTCAGGGCGTGGGCATTAATTACATGCCTAATGCGTGAGAACATTGTTGCCTCAGTTCAAAATGTTATATTAATTAGATACCGGAAGCGCGTTTTGATTTCAGCTTTCGATCTCTCAATAATACTGCTTTTGGTCGTTCTACTTAGCACGATTCTAATGAGCTGCTTTTAAGACCCCGCTTTTAGAATGATCAAGACTGGAGATAAAATCGCATAGTCAGACAGGTGTTATGAGACAGCAACTTGTGTGTTTTTTGATTGAATTAATTTCGACCTTGCTCCACAAAGTGACTTTAATCTGCCCTCTCTGCAGTTTTGACTGTTCATCTTCACGAGTCATTATTAATTAAGCTTGACTACATCAATGAAGAGTATTGCCTGATGCTTTGCACACTACCTTGGTTAATATAGGAATATCAGACTCTCGATAAAAAACATCACATGTGACTAATGTAAAATGCACAAAGTTCTTCCAAAGTTCATTTAAATCTGTTTCACTTTGTAGTTAAACATTTCCAAGTTCAGTTACAGCCTTGGAGGTTGAGTTCGCTTGCATTGTAGCTATTTTCGCAGTGTGGCGATGGTTCATAATAGCTTTATCAAGTTATCTGCATAGGACCCATAAATGGTACAAAAAATAAAAGCCGCTACCAATGAAACGTAACACCTACAGAAAAATAAGAATAGTGTTTCTTTCTGGATAGCCTTATCTACCAGACATCTTTCACTGCCACTGCACCCGTGGGTATTCGAGCCACATAAGCCGTCCATTGTCTTAGTCTTGTAGCTCTTTCTCCGTGTCTTGAAGGTTTCTGTAGCCATTGGTCATTTTACAACTTTTGTGAAGCAGATATCTAGTTTTAACTCAAAGCAATTGTTGATTTTTTTTTCTAAAAACGATAACTGTTAATGACTTTGTGCCGTCGCTACATTTTTAATGAAGTGGGTGGTTTCATTCTACAAATACCCTTCCGGTCAATGCCTTTTCTCAAAAGACGGTTCTTCAATGTGCTTGATATACACACGTATCAATGACTTAATATAGTTGTCCTCATCAGATTATATGTCGAGGAAAATTATCGAAATCAATGGCTATGAACTCCACCGGTAAAAAAATTCTACCACTAAGACGGAAAAACTGGAATGTTAACCAAAAGTGGGCTGGGGTGGTTTAGAAAGCTTTGGTGTCTGGAGGTAAATTATGAATTTGAATGAATGAGAACAAAATCCGCAGTCTTTCTAAGAAGTTACCACGGTTGGCTACGTCAAAGAAGATATAGCGTCATTCTCTCTTAATTGAGTAAATCGTTGTTCAAAAATGCTAGAAAACATATTTACAGTAGTTATGCAATTGCAAAAAGAGCAGGATTAACTGTGTCACGTTCAATGGCAGACAGCCGTTGAGAATTATACCAAATCGTGGCTTGATGATAATTCTCCCATGTAAGCATATAGAGAAACTTATGAATATGAACAAACTACTGGAAAGACCATAACTTA